ATCCTCTGCAACCAGCTCCGAAAGGTGGTCATCATTCAGTTCCTCTGGACTTCCAGGCATTGTTTTTCGGTCATGTCGAAATGTCCATTCCCAATCTTGTGCTTCAAGTTCCTTATCGTGATGTGGAGACATTGAAGGGTCGATTGCGTTACAGATGTTTCTTGTCGCACGATTTGAATTTACGCTTTTGTGGACTCGTAAAGGAGAAGCATTCTGACTAGCTTCGGTTCTATAGCGCTTTCCGCGATGATCGCTGCTGCAAAGTGCTACGGCAGATATAGTGCGAAGAGTGCATTGACCAGCAGTTACATAAGTTTCATAGTGAACGTTCAAAAGTTATCCTCGAAGGTTTCAGAGTATAGAAAGGAAAATGCGGAAAAACTTCTGACAATCTAATATTCCTTAGCGCCTTGAGAGAGCTGCAAAGTTCAGAAAATGAAATCCCAAAACCGCGGAGACGGGCAGTTGAACCGTTTTGTGAAGTCGATTCGCCTCTCGCGACTGTCGCGGACCAGATGCCTCGCTATTGCAGCTCCAGCGTTCCTCTTACAGCTCCCGTGCGACGCTCTCGTTGCGAAGCGACAGTTCTGAGTCAATTGCGCCACACCCGTCATCAGCTGGGGCCACTCCGCCCCCATGCGGGTGAATTGTTATGGAAAAGGAGGACTGGAGACAAAGGAAGGGTCTAACGATTGGTATTATCCATCCACTTGGGCTACGCGTGCTAACCCGTGCAGCATATGCCCACTATCTACGTCTTGTTAAAGGACCAATCTGACACAGTATTGGTTGAGTTCCCATTTCATAACTGTTTCCTCACGCGCTCACGTGACATTTACGCTCTCCATCGTGCCTACGTGACTTTTGGAAGACCGCGCAAACGGGCATACGAACAGACACACAAAGGCCCGTGTGCATAACGCCCGGGGTAGGGGAAGGAGAGGAAATGTTTGCCGAGGGCGCGAGTGTTCAAATGGGATTTTTGCCTTTGTTCTGTGTCAAGATAGTTGCAATGGAGCTAAGTATTTTCCTATAAACAGGTGAAGAATCGATAGCCCTTGGTAATCATGTGATGTTTGTCTTTGCGACCTTACCTTAGCAAGAGCTCAGAGAAGCCCAACCCCATTGGCTCCCCGGGGGATGAATCTACCCCTAGAATAGAGCTGGGGAGCCGATGGTCATGTAGACCGCAACTCTGCTATTCACTACATTACTCGACTGAGCGCTTTTTCCTCTGACTTCTGCTGCCGAATTCGTCAGGTATTGCTCTGATTTTATTCTACTGCTGCAACCAACTACCAATTTATTTAAATTGCTGACGTCGTTGCTGTAGAGCAAATTAGTTTTCAAGTATACAGGTTTTTCTTTCTAGACTTACACCAGTTA